CTTAAGAGGTATCAAATTACCTTAACACAAATGTGCTAATGTACAAGAAGGGTTTTCAATCGACATCGAACCCTCAAAAAGCCCAAAGAGTAAAAAATACATGCTAAGACATAAAGAATTTTCGCTAAATATTTTAAGCCAAAAGAGGGGAATAGTAGTCATCTTTTAGAGGCCATAATGGCCTAGTCTAAAGAAGACTAAGGGCCAATACACTTAGAGTTCGAGATCTTGTTCTCACTCCATTCGAACCCAAGGGTTCGATTATCCCGAGCCTAAATAAACAATAACTTGATTATGGCTCGGGACTCACCATTATCTGACACAAACCATTAAGGGTCTATGCCTCAAAGTTCGAACCTTACTCGAACTCGACTACGGTAACTTCGAGGAAGCCACCTGAGACAAAGTCTCGAACTCACTGTTCAAAGCATAAGATTGTGCTAAAAATTTTACAAGGCAAAAACATGCTTATAAAGATCGGGAAGGCATTCGAGAGATACTTTCTTTTATATATTTGAAAAAAGATATGTACAAGAGACCAACATAGGTCTTACAAAAAGAAAAAGAAAAAATCCTAACTATGCTCGGGGCTGATCTCTCCCTCGGGAGCAGCTTTTCCTTCGGGCCCTTCGTCATTGTCAGACAATCGTCGTCATTAGAGGAGACAAGAAATCTGGCATCAGCCTCAAGCGCCTTAGCTTGAGCTATCTCTTCAGAGAGGTCATAGCATCGAGCGTGGATTTCCTCGAGGGTCTCCCTCCGATATTGGCACCTTGCCAAATCATTGATCTGTCACTCTTTATCGGAACCCTCCCTTAGTTGCATTTGAGCAACCTTGGCATCGGCCAAGTATATGGCTATGGATTTGTCAGCCACGATCTTTGTCTCCTCGACCTCTGCCTTGGCCTCGTCAAGCTTGACCTCGAGCTCGTCGATCCTTTTGGCCTGGGCCAAATCTTTCTCTTTAGCACCCTGAAGTTGGGCCTCGACCGATGACAGTTTGGCCAAAGCATCCTCTTTCTCCACAGTAAAGCGCTCCATGTTCTCCTTCTATCGATCATAGTCGGCTTTGATTTGATTGACTTCCCCTCGAAGCAGCTCGATCCTTTCTAGATTTTGCTGCAACTGAGATACTGAAGTGTTAGCCTCTATAGTTGGGTCGAGTGGACCGTACTCTTTCAAAATTATAGTTACCTGCTTGTCTAGCTTGGCCTCATCATTACGAGCCTTGGCCAAGTCTACCCGAAAGTCCCCGAGCTCCTCCGCCCTTTGACCGCAAAGGAGCTTTAAAGCATTCCTCTCCTCCGAGGTTTTTTGGAGCTCGACCTCACATTGGCTCAGGTTGGCCCTAAACTTGGTGAAAGCCTACACAGAAAGAAAGATACAAGTTACGATAAAGGGAGAAGAAGGAAAATAAAATTGCAACAATGGGAATTAATACTTACTCGAGATAAAAGGAGTTGAGCCTTTTCGAAAAGGGTGGATGCGTCATTGATATCAGCGGCGTCATCAACCTTGGTAAAGCAATCTCGGAAGGGATCATATTCACTGGGGACTCCACCTAAGTCAGGCATTTGCAGAACCCAAGCCTCCCTTATGGCCTCCTCAGAATAAGCCGGTAGAGAGGGAGAGTGACCTATCGGCATGGCCCTGAACAAATCACTCGGGGCGCTCTATTCAGCCCTGGGGATCTTGGAACCGGCCCTCTCTGGCGTGCTTGTTGATGGACAAGGAACAATCTCGACCTCGGCAATTCAGGGGTTTTGCCCGAATCTTTCTTCAGAGCCTCCTCATCACGAGGCAGGGTCTCCAGCTCGGAGGGCTTGGAAGCCTCGACCAGCTTCCTGGCTTGAGCCACCGGCGCCGAGTCATCACCCTCGTCTTCTTCTTCTTCACCTAGCTGGTGGACCGATTCTATATCCACAGGAATAAGATTTCTCCTGTGTCTTCGAGTTGGAGCCTTTTTAGCTTGGGGGTCCTCGGGCTCCGGGACCCTCTTCCTCCTATTATCTTTCCTCGATTTCAGAATCGGGGACTCGGTCTCTTCCCTAGGCAAGGTTGGCCTCATTTCAGATACGTCTCCAACACTTGCATAAAGGAGAATCAAGTATGAATGAAGAGAAATCTCTGATAAAGGGGAAGTCATCAAAAGCTTACAAGATGAACTTGCCATGATGTTTGGCTTCCGATCTGCCCTCACCAAGTCACGCCAACTGCGCTCGGCATGAGAGGAACTCGAGGCTAATTTCCGGATCCATTCTTCAAGGTCGGTGACTGCATGAGGCATCCAAGTGATCGTTGCAAACTAGATGAAGGCATCACATAAAGCAGAAATGGAGTACGAAGGCTAATGGGTAAAAACATCACTTACATTCGGGGTTCCACTACTCTGCGAATGGCATTTTCTCCTCTGGGATGATGTTGTAGGTCCTCACTCGCACGAACTGGCCCATCCAACCCCGATCTTTATCCTTGTTGTTGATCGCAAAAAAGGCCTTGGTCGACCGGCATTGGAGCTTGATCAATTCTCAGAAAAACCGAGGTTGATATAATCGAATAAGATGGTTGAGGGTGAACTCCAGCCCCTTGGCCTTATTGGAAAAGAAATGGAGCATGATCACTATACGCCAGAATGAGGGGGGATCAGGCCGAAGTTGACCTGGTACCTCTTGCAGAAATCGATGATGACTGGATCGATGGGACCCAGCGCGAAGGGGTAAGTATAGACACTTAGGAACCCCTCCATATGAGTGGTGATACTCTCCTCGGGAGCGGGGATCTGTACCATGACCTCGGCCCCCCAGCCATAATCTCTCTTCATAGCCTCGAGGTGTTTCTCCGTTATCGAGCAAATATATCTCGACACGTGCTCACATCGGCCAGGGATCGATGGGGGATTCTCGACTTTGAAGTCGTTCTTTGTAACACAAGGGCCGGGAACAATCTCCTGAAGGGTCGGTTCCGGCGGCGCTTCATCACCGGCGGGCCGGAAAGAAGAGGAGGAAGCTTTCTCCTTTTGAGGAATGGTTTTGGAGGTTTTCGCCATTGGTTTAGGGTGGAGGAAGCAGAAAGAGGTGGAGTTTGATATTTTTTGTGCTAAAAGGGTTGAATCAACAGGTAGTGAAAAAGAAAAGATGAAGAGAGGAAGAGATCAAGAAAATTTGAAGGTGGAAGCAAAGTTTTTGATTCATATAGAGAACATGTATTTATAGGCACACGGCGACAGTTCGGCGGCGCTAGTGGCCGACCGTCACTGGCAAGCATTTAATATTTTGGGGAATCGAACCGACAGGATGTTTCGGTCACCCCGAACGTCTACGTCAGAGGGATGACGTCATTTTCGGGGTCTCCAAAAATCGATGTTCAAGTCGTTTCTTATCATTTCACTCTAAGAAACGAGGGAACTATCTGTATACGGTGGAAATCGGGGCTACCCGATTTTGTTCTTTGATGGAGAAGTGATACTACGTCGGTAGGCCAAGACGCCGAGCTCGGGGTCGAAGCTCTTTTCCAATGTCTAGGTCGATATCATTTGCCGAGGTCGGAAGAAGGCATGCTTCGAGATGATATCGTTGTGATTCAGTAACGGAAAGAGCGAGGTACTCACAAAGGCCGGAGGATCACGACGTAAATTTCAGAATGGATTGGTCTTCGACGGTTAGACAGCTGTCAAATATGATTTCCTACTGTAATTAGAAGTGTGTCTTATTTAGGACTTCCCTATTATATAAAGGGGAATCCTATTCATTTGTAGACCACTGTTCACTGATAAGAAAATATACGTACATTATTCTCTTGCTATTTTACCTACTGTTCTTCAGATTTGTTTTATCATTTATTCCCATAATCATACCTCGAGACCGTCACAGGTCGAGGTCGAGACTTAGCCTACACACTGGTTTGATCTACTTTATTCTTTAATTCGTCTATTTAATCCCATGTTTATCAATTCGCATTGAATTAAATCATATATTCTTAAAACCACAATACAAGTTTAATTATTACTCGAATTTTAGGGTAAACAAAGTAAATTAGATGGAGGAATTTTTTCTTTCTTTTTGTAGTTAAAAAATATTAGTTGGTTGATGAATCCGTTCCTGCAAATACATCTTTAAACAACAACACATTTAGATTACTTGTTGGTATTCCTTTTTTTTATCAATTTGTCATTTTCATTTGGTGAACTACAAGTTTTACAAGTTAGTAATATAGGTCTATTAATCTACAGTTGTCAAATCAATTTACATCGTGTACCTTCGGACAATATAAATGATTTTTTTCTCTAGCAGTTATCGCATAATATGTATTGCACTGGTGGTTGTTGATTGCTTTTTGAAGGTAATATAAAACTCTCTTGCTCTGCTGCTTTTGGACGAGCAAAGACTCTCTCAACCGAGCTGTCTAAGCTGGTACTCATAGCAAATGATGAATTAACAGCCCAGTGATGTGCTTGAAGGTGCACCTATATTTTTTGTACATTATATATTTACATAATTTATAGCATTTAAGTACGGTTGAACTAAATAGCACTAGCACTGGAAACGTACGATGTACTTGCGTTTCTTTTTTTTCTTTTTTTTCTTTTTTTTGCACTTATCATACATAAAACTGTCCTATTATGCATGTAATTATTATTACACATAGTAGTGTTTTGGTTATGGGTGTCTATTTTGATTACAATATGGATTAGTGTTTGATTTCATGGGTTGCTCGCTATTTTGATCCACCTAAGGCCGGAATGATGAAGCTATTGTCATGGAAGAGCCTATTTATTTATGTAATGATAATGTTTGTTTCTTACCGTTGTGAAAGTTCAAACAATGACATTGATAAATTACAGAAATAAACTTTATGGTGAACGTGATTCACCATTAATCTTGGCCCCGTGCATGTTGCACGAGCAAATGCATCTGGTATTAAGTTAATGGACATTCTTTAAGAATTTAAGAATTTCGAACACGTCTCCAGAAAAGTCTCTTTAAAGCAGAACTACTGTTCACTTCATCCAAAGCACTAAACATTCAAGTGAAATTTAAACAATGAGTGAAGTATGTTATTTTGCTGAAAACAGTCCAACAAACGTACCAGTTCAACTGGTTCGGCAAGTGTTACACAAACTGATAGCAGTCAATTAATATTCTTTCTCAGAAAAAGCCCAATTAAACAAGTAGATAGCACATAGATTTACTCCTCAGCGGTTTAAACACGTAGATAGCACATAGGTCTACTCCTCAGCGGACAAACTTTGTTCTCCGTCACAGGAACCAGCCCCTCCTCCCTCCTGCTCATCTTCGCACTTCAAAGGCTGCCTAAAGCAATCAGAGCAAAGCAATTCCAAACAAAAAGTTTCCTCATATTCAGTGTTATTTATACATCTGCCACATTGACTGCAGCGTAAGATGCACAGTGAGCAGGCCCTACATTCTTGAGTAGCTTGATCTTTCACTTGACAACCCTCTGCAGGACAATCATAGACCATTCTCATTTTTCCACATCTAGGGCATATTTGAACATCAATAGCCCGATTGTCATCAGATAAACGATAAATATTCCTCCGAGAAAAGAAATGGGGTTTGTAAACATTATTTTGCTGCTTCTGGCTATCTGCACCTAGCAGAAACCTGAGTTCTTCAACATGTTCATGAGTCACTCCATAAAGGCCGCCAATTCTCAGGTGCTTTATACCCATTTTACCTCTTTTAAAGTTAAAGGACTTCAACATATTTACAACGCCCTCAATACTGAGTCTTGTACATGCAGGAACAAATAGCTGCATGAAGTAAAAATAAGATTAAGTACACCATTGTACATTCAAGCCATACTATTAGTAGCAAAAGGGACCTTATCCAAAAAAGAGAGAACAAAAACTATTAGTAGCAAAAGGTACTGATACTGCTCTCAACAGGTATATCTTGCAAGAGTATTTAGCACAAGGCAGCCAATAACGAAAATGAGAAAAGGACAGAACCAAAGAGCCTGCCAGCAACCCAACAGGAAAAAAATACGCATCAAATAAAGATTAACATTTCCATAAGCAATTCAAACTTCTACAAATAAAAGCTAAAACTGCTGAAACCTGCTTTAACTCCTCTAGGTTAGGTAATTCAAACAATACAATGACAATCAGAAGTTCAGATTCTGCTTACAATATAAGGCAATAATGGTGACAGAACTACATCCAAACTGTGATTGAAGTCATTAAACAAAACAAGTGTGAATCATATATTGCATCACATACGCAAACATGCAAGTGATCAATGTTCCATCAATAAGAGTGCATTTAGGAAGTACATATTAGCTCTAAGTGATTGTCAGGCTGCATTATGACAGGCATCAATAAGCAATTTATACCATTTCTGACCAAACTTTTGAGTCTTCCACGCAAAATACCAGGAGTAAATGGCATAAATGCAACTTCTATTGCTCAGGAAACAAAAGCAAGGGGTTATTGGAATGTGCTAAAGAGCAAAATGTTAATATCAACAAGCATACAATAAAAATACCATTATAGCGAGCACCACAAATAAATATATATCTTTAGACAATAAAGTAAAATGAATTGAACAACTGACCTTTGTCAAAAGTGGATTAGAATCGAGTACCCTTCTCAAACCGTCATCTGTGATACGGGTGCACTCTAACAAACTCAAGCATTGTAAGTTACCTTGAGCCCTGCTAGTCAATCGCAAGAGGGCATCGTCACTGATCTCATTCAATGGTTTTTCAATATGAATGCTCCTCCATAACAAAGGATCATTTTTGACAGTAAGTCGCAAGGACCTACAAACACTTTCTACAGTCAAAAGATCCTTCACTCCAAGGTAACCAAGAGCAAAAGATAAAGCCTCATGAGGGGCACCTTCATTTTCAGCAGAGCAGGACGTCGAACAATCTGTTCCTGCCATCGTCTGCGGCAGAAAACTGCCTGAACCTACATTATTGAAGCCTGCAGTGTCCCCCACATTGCAAGCTGAGCCAAGACCAACATGGGCCAAGGCGTCCCTCATATCTCTCTCCCCAACAAACCAATTCACCGGATCACCTTTATTCATTTTGTCATCAGACCGAACGTGACAACCAGGGAATGATTGGAACCTCATAGCATCACTCCAGATAAAATTCAAATCCGCAAACAAACCATAGTCCTCATTACTGGGACCAACACGGTTTCTCCTACATCCTCCATAATCAACTTCCAAATCCTCAAGCCATCCAGTAATGGCTGTGATAGTGGTGCTTATATCCATCCCGAATGGATCAGCAGGGAGACGGTCAACGATGTCCTCCCCTACCGACTCCGACAAATCACTCTTCTCTACACTTTTCCCCCCATAATCATAATCAAAACCCTCTCGGGACCGAGCAAAATTCTCCACTTTCTTCTCTGGAACACCCTCCACTAGATACCCATTAACAATTCTCATCGGCGATATCAAATTATCCTCAGATATATGCGCCGGAAATATGGGCCGATGCGAAAAATTTAACGCCATGTATGGTTCAAATTAACTCTAAAGACAGCTAAAAGGAAGACCCTCTCTTTTCTCTTTTCTCTTTTTCTGGTTTTTTTTTTCTTTTCTCTCTTTTTTGGTGTGCAATACTGTGATGCGAAGTTTATTAGATTCGACAAGAAAACCCTCAATTTAGGATGGTAAACTAAAAACAACGCACCTAAAATCTCACAGAGCTTCTTGTAAGGAACCCTAAGAGAATCCGAATAATACAGTAGAATCAATCAGTGAAACGACACCTTAATTTTTCGATATTTTTACTATACAAAATAATAAGAATCAATGAATATTTGGCAGAATAGGAAAACCTAAGAAGCTAGGGTTTTCAAAAGAATGTGGAAAGAGAATAAATCGTAACGATACAAAAAAAAAAAAAGAACCTGAATCAGCGTACAAAACAAACCCTAATTTGCTCACCAGAGAACACAATCGACAGAGAAAAGAAGATGGAACGAGTTTCCGATTGCCGATTAGGGTGGCGGAATTGAAACTAAATATGAACACCTCGTTTGGGAATCTGCCGATCGAGCTCAAAGAGGAGCGAAATAGGAAAATAGGAAGAAATAGCTAGGAGTAGAAAAGAAAAAGAGATAAAAATCTAAAGGTACCTGTTTGGGGAAATTGGGGGCTGAGGGTAGGGGAATTTTTGGGGGAATTGTCTAATTGTGTATGAATTGGGAGAGCCAAAAATGATACCGACACGTGTCCGGTGACTAATTCTTACTGCTATTACGGTGAAAGTCGTGGCGGGAATGGATTTCCCTCCTTCTGGACTCTATTTTTCCGCTTCAGCGCTCGTTATGCATATGGACTACCTGTATTTTTCGACATACTAGCTTTAGCGCACGTGTGTTACACGTGTATTTTGCGTCAATCAGTATAAAATATATACAAGAAAAATAAATTATTGCATACATTGAAATAATATCTTCTTAGCATACAAAAATGGTGAATTTAGTTGAATTAGTTATATAATACTTGAAATTATAATATCTTGCGAAATAAGATATAAATATGTCATGTTGTTGTACCTCGTCTAACATCTCTTGGGAATACAAATAATACAAATTTCGACTATCAATTAGACCACTGGCAGTATTATATTAGCTCGGAATTTGTCAAAATGGTTATTTCATCAAAATATTATAAACCTTAACTACTGGATATATATTTCTTAAAATTCTAATTTTCTAAATAATACAATTTTCATAAAACTCCAGTCACTAATTAGGTCAGTCCTGAGGAAGTTTTTCTTTAAACAAATTTTCGTTCATCTTCGTCTAATGATATAAATTAAGTAGTTATTATTTTTCTTAAGATGTTAAAAGCTTGAAAAATTAAATAATAACTTAAATTTTTGAAAAGGAGATTTAGTGCATTCCTAAGATCACCCTACAAGGAAATAATAATATTATTTATTAATTATCAAATAATGAATACAAAAAATAATGAAGCTTTCAAATTAATAGTAACCTTTTCACAATTAATGTATCATCAAGATTCTAACACAAATATTTTAGGTAGAAAAATGAAGGTAAGCTATTGTTTATATCAAAAGAGATTAAAATTTTAAAAACTTGTTCAACATAAAAAATATGTGGTATATGGTAGAGAATTATATATTTAAAGATTAATTTTTTTAATTTAGAGGAAGGTTTAGTAAACAATATTTATTATGACTATAGATTTTAAGTACGTATAATCATTTTTTTCATTTTTATGAAGAATAATAAAAAGAATCTAATTTAATTTGTCAATATTCTAAAATAAATATTTTAGGTAGGAAATAAATTAAAGTTATTTTTTTCGTATAACAAAGAGACTAAAAGTTTTAAAACATGTTATGATTTTTCTTTTTTCGGGTTGAGTCCTTTTTCCCCTTGATATCTATATGTCTATTTTTTTACATGATGATAAATTTATTTTGTAACCAAGGTACATAATATTAGTTCATACAGCCTTAGAACCTTTCCAACTTTGTATCAAAATTAAAAGACAACAGAAGCAATTATCTTTTCTTAAAAGATATGACGTTGGTAAATAAAATATGGTTATATGGCATTGATAAATAGAATATGGTACTTGGATGTATTTTCGTTGGACAATTAAATCAACGTATAATGGTTGATTTTAAATTCTTAAGATTTTTTGTTAATTTAAAGGTCCTAAATCTTACGGAGATATTGAATGACTTTTTTTTTAAAATTTAGTGTGACCATTAATTTTAAAAGGGTAAAAAAGACGAACACATTTCGCTAAGGGCCTTCGTGCTTTTAATACAATATGAATTTTTACGTGTAAGATTTACATACAATAAACTCTTAATATTTTAAAGGTTTTGGACTTTTTACATAATTTAAATAAGAAAAAATTTAATAAGTAAAATTTTAAATAATTTTAAACTCATAAACGTAGATTTGTATAAAGTAAACTCTTAACAGTTTTATAATTCTAAATGGTAGGACTTTCTACATAAGTAAAATAAGAAAGATTTTAATGCTTAAAATTTTAATTCATTTAAACTGTTAAATATTAAAAAATAATTAATTGATTATTCAATAAATTATTACTTGTATTACTTGACACACAAAAAGCCGTAAGTTTAAGTTCCAATCTTCTATTCTAGGTAAATATTAATTCATTGTAGAAATGTAAATGTTGTTAATGAAGGGATAGGGGAGAAAACGTGGTGAACGTATATTCAGTTGGTTTTTTTTTTTTTGAAAGAATTACAAGAAAATACACGTGACTTCACACCATAACAAATAATGGCTCGTATTTTTAAATTTTACCTGACCTAGCCCATATTGTATATATTTTGAAAACACTAGCTCTTGCAAATTCAAAATATGTGTTCTTACAACCATTGCTTCTAAAAGCTATGGAGTTAAATCTATGTTCTCACAACCATTGCTTTCACTCTCTCTTCTTCTCACATCTTTTACATATTCTTCAAGAGGTCGTCCTCCATTACTGCTTCTCCCCCTATATCACCTGGTTGCAATGTAAAAGAATTGAAGAGTTGAAATCCACCATTGAAGGCTATTCAAAGCTTTGCTTTCGAAAATAGAAGTTTTTGAGTTTGTTAGTTGTTTGGATTGGAAGCTGTTCCAACTGATTGAAAATATCAAAAGGAGTTCAAAATTTAAATTTGAAGTGATTTGGAGTAGATTTGAGTTAAATTTCAGAAAAGACGCAAGGAAGAAGACGAAGTTAGTTTTTTGTATAATTATGTATAACCTTGTATAATAGTGTATATGAGTGTATAAACACATCTTATACACTATTATACACTTTTATACATATTTATACAAACATTTGTAGACGAACTTCTTCCACGATTTTCACTTGCAATTCTTCTTCAAAACCAGTCCAAATCTTCATTAAATGACTTCAAATTTTATATACAACCTCCTTATACTATTTCTAACAAGTCTAGATAACACCCACTCCAAATTTCTCACAAAATCAAACTCGGAATTTAAACATATATTTAAGCTTGTTAAAAATTTAATTTTCACCACCCAAATAGATTTGGTTTGTTGAACTAATATTTGAATCACAGTTACTGATTCGAAAATTAACTTAAAAGCATGAACCATCATTTTTAAAAAATTAAATAGTAATTTTGAGAACCTATTGGAGTTGGATGTTGAATCTTAGCCTATTATTTTTGGGCTAGTTGGTTGTAAATTAAAATATGGACTATAAAATTGAAAAGTAGGGAGCCCAATTATTCTTATATGAAATTTTTCCTTTTTTTTTTTGGAGCGATTGATATAAGGTAAAAGTTTAATTGATTTTAAAGTTCTAAATATTAGGACTTTCTACCTAGTTTAAATAAGGAAAGATTTAATACATAAAATATAATAATTAATTTTCAAGTCCAAAATATTATAAAAATGATTTAAATGACTATTTTGTCTAGTGCAAAACTAATTTTTAAAGGGTAAAAAAGGCGAACGACATTTCGCTAAGGGCCTTCGTACTTTTAATATTGTACTAATCTTATGTTACGCGCGTTGCGCGTGTACCTTATCTAAATATTTAATAAGCTTTTAAAAGTCATATAAATTTTAGAAGTCCTCGATCATCCACCAATTTATTAAAGAATGATCAATCAAATATTCCTCTCGAAGAAGCATCAACATATTACTATCAATATGTTGATAGTAAACAGATTTATTCCTCAAGCGAAATAAATCTAAGCATCAACATATCACTATCAATAGATTCTATCACAAGTTTACAACAAATTACATATCTAAAGGAGCGCAAACACCCGATCTAACACTGACACAGTAACCTCTATCCTAGGAGTAGTTCCTAAAAAATTATTTGCATATTTTACTCTTAAGAAAAATTAGTTTCTTCTGCTTGATGTTGTTATTTTTGAAATATAATATTATTTATCTGTTTTTATTTTTATTTTTTAAATAGAATAACCAAAATACTGAACTGTACATATGTAAATTTAAAGGAATTTCATTTCTTTTCTCTCTATTTCGCTATTTTAAAATACTAGGTTTAATTTTAAAAAAATCAAAATAACCAAAATATTGAATTATTAATTGTGATACTAAGTTAATGTTTGACTTGGTGTCAAAAGCAACTATACATGGACGACTCCACTGGTAAAAGAAATTCGAGATGAAGTAGAATTGGTTACATACTTGTGTAATTGCTAATTTTTCGAGAAAGCATTAATTATTATTAATTGTGATCACAAGTTAATTTTTGTTTTAGATGAAGTAAAATAGAATTTTTATGATGACGTATTAATTGTCATTAACTGTGATGACAATTAATATTTAATTCTGACTTGGACTTGACAAAAATAAAACACGGATTTATTCAAGTCTCCAAATTTGGAATGAAATAAGGAAAATCATAAATATATTTAAATTTAGTCGTAATTATGATTTTATCCAACATAAATAACACTTGTTGAGGGTAAAAAAGGCAAACGACATTTCGCTAAAGGCCTTCATGCTTTTAATATAGTATAGTTATATAGATTATTTTAGAGAAATTTTCATAAAGCACTATCTTTTAGTAGTAATTAGCCATCTATAGATATCATTTGCTATATTACGGATTATAGATACCTTTTCTGTGGTTATACGATGTATTTGATGTATTTAAGCTATTGTATTCATGAATACAGTAGCAAAAATAGGCGTGAATCAGGGAAATCCAGCTAATCAGTTGTTGTATTCGAGTGTATTCGACTGTATTCATGGAGTGAAATGTGGGATTACAGCTGGACAAATTATTGTATTCGACTATATTTACGGCGTGAAATAAGGGATTATACTGTTTTTAAAACGGAAAGTGAATCAATTAACATAATCGACTCCTAATATAACTCAACAAACTCAATTATAACATACAAATTTTGTATTTTCAGTTTAAAAATGATTCTCAACCGAAAAATACACCAAAAACATAGCAACTTTCAGAGAAATTATATAATATATCTGAATACATAAATTATATTAATTAAAAAAATATATGAATACATTCATGGCATATAGCGAGACAGTGAATACAATGAAATACATAGAATACGACGGGATACATTGAAATACAATGAAAAAAATAGTGAATACAATGAAATACATGGAATACAACGAAATGCATTGAATTAC